ATAGATGCTCAGGACGGATGCAAAGAGCAGGGCCCCAGGCAGAGCTCAGTGTGCAGCCCCTCCTGCCCCCACTAAATGCAGGCTCAGTCCCCCGTGCTGTGTGTCCATATGTGTCTGCGTGGTCTGTGTATGTCTCTGTTGTGTCTGCTGGATTGTCCTGTGTGTCTGCGTGTTGCCATGTGTCGTGTGTCTGTTGTGTCCCGTGTGTCTGCGTGTGGTCCATGTTGTCTCCATGTGTCGTGCATGTGGTTGTGTGGTGTTTCTGTGTGTGTCCAGTGGCTGGTGTGATCTGCGTGTGTCCGTGCGCTGTCTACGCTGTGTCTGGATTGTCCTGCTGTACTCTGCATGTGTCTGTGTGTGCCTACGTGTCGCGTGATTGTGTGTTTCTCCGTATTGCCTGCTGATGTTCTGTGTTCCCCCCTTCGGTGTCGCGCTGCGTGTGTCTGTGGTGTGTCTGCGTGTGTCCATGCATGTCTCCCGTGTGTCTATGTGTATCTGCATGTGTCTGCGTGTGTCTACGTGTCTGTGTGTGTCCATGCGTGTTGTCCTCCGTGTCCTGTGTATGTCTAGTTGTCCGTGCGTGGTGTCCTTGCAGCCATCACCCCAGCCAGCGATCCCGGGGAGTCGTGGCCCGAGTGTGCATTATGCACCTCCTGACGGCATGTGCAGTCCCCTGCCAGGACCGCAGCCTGACACAGGGCCCATGCCCAAGGGGCACTCACGGGTGTGCCAGGAGGGGACTCTCTGGGCTCCTTAACAGCTGCTGGCCACCAGGCACATGGTGGGCAGTGCTGTGCCCTGGGGCAGGCAGCTGACCAGGGCATGCCCCATCCCAGCCCCCACCAGTGGTCTCTGCCCTCAGTGTGGGGTAGGGGTGGTGGGTCCCATTCACTCCTGAGCCCTGTGGCCCTGGGTGAAGGGTAGGGCTGGAGGGATGGGTGGGAGTGACTCTGGGCTGCCCGGCAGAATCATGCGGAAGCAGCCAACTGTTGTCCTGGGCGTGGCGCACACCGTGGTGAAGAGGATGTCGTCCTTCGTGCGGCAAATCGACTTTGCCCTGGACTGGGTGGAGGTGGAGGCCGGGCGAGCGATATACAGGTGAGGCTGTGGGTGTCACACACTCGGTGTCCACGCTGCCCTGGCATGCAGGATTCGGGGGTGGGCAAAGCACAGTAACCATGGAAACCACACACGGAAGTTACTATGGAAACCACACGCGGAAGGCTGGATTTCCCCAGCCCCACCCCAGCTTAGCTCGGCAACACGCTTCATGGCCTCCTGGATTTCATGACAGCCACACACGCTTGGACACAGCCGATGTTCCACGAGCATCTCTGTGTCAGTATATTCAAGCCCACACCATCCTTTTAAAAGCACCCCACTGGCCAGGTGCGGTCGCTCACACCTGTCATCCAGCACTTTGGGAGGCCGAGGCAGGTGGATCACAAGGTCAGGAGTTCAAGACCAGCCTTGCCAACATGGGTGAAACCCTGTCTCTATTAAAAATACAAAATTAGCTGGGCGTGGTGGCACGTGCCTATAATCCCAGCTACTCGGGAGGCTGAGGCAGGAGAATCGCATGAACCTGGGAAGTGGAGGCTGCAGTGAGCAAAGATCGTGCCATTGCACTTCAGCCTGGGCAACAAAGCGAGACTCCGTCTCAAAAAATAATAATAATAATTAAAACCAAGAAAATTTGAGGATATTTATTCATTTAAAACAACCCATGCCTATTAACATAAATATTTTAAAATAAAAAGTAGGTTTTCCAAAACAAAAATAAGACAGTGAGAAGCCTGCGTTTTCTATTTCTCCATCCTGAGTCTGTCTGCTGTTGGGAAGCTGGGTTTGGGGGCTGAGGCTGGGGGTCCAGGGCTGCAGGGCCTCTGTGTCTCCCGCAGGCAGGGGCTGGGGGTTCAGGGCTGCAGGGCCTCTGTGTCTCCCGCAGGCAGGGGGACAAATCTGACTGCACGTACATCGTGCTCAGCGGCCGGCTGCGCTCTGTGATCCGGAAGGACGACGGGAAGAAGCGCCTGGCCGGGGAGTACGGCCGAGGAGACCTTGTCGGTGTGGTAGGTGCTGGGCCCTGCTCCTGCCTCCCTGACCTCTCCATCCCTCCCAGGGCGTCCTGGGTTCTGGCCTGAGTGTGGCCTGGCCAGTTACTCAGGGCAGCAAAAGCCCTGGGAGTGGACGGCAGGAGTGATGCCCTGTGGCTGCTTTGCCCTGAGTCCCAGGCTCTGCCTCTGCTGGGAGCTTCCGGTACCTATCCTGGCATCCGGGCGCACTGGCCCACTTGCCTCCGGGTGTCTCTTGAGGTATGGTAGCAGCTACAGATGGTCTGGGCCTCCTGGGGCCATCCAGCACGGCAGGCCCCTGCATCCTGAGCGAGTCGGGGCTGCCCAGCTCCAAGGTGCCGCGGCCTGGGGCTTCTGCCGATTTGTGTTAAGTTTTTTTTTGTTTGTTTGTTTTGTTGTTTAAGACGGAATTTCACTCTTGTTGCTCAGGCTGGAGTACAATGGCATGATTTCGGCTCATCACAACCTCCACCTCCTGAGTTCAAGCGATTCCCCTGCTTCAGCCTCCTGAGTAGCTGGGATAAAAGGCGCCCGCCACCACGTCAGGCTAATTTTGTGTTTTCAGTAGAGACGGGGTTTCTCCGTGTTGATCAGGCTGGTCTTGAACTCCCGACCTCAAGTGATTCACCCACTTCAGCCTCCCAAAGTATTAGGATTACAGGCGTGAGCCACCACTCCTAGCCTATGTTAAGTTTTTGTTTTTGTTTTTGTTTTTTTTTGAGACAGAGTCTCACTCTATCACCCAGACTGTAGTGCAGTGGCACGGTCTCATGCACTGCAACCTCCGCCTCCTGGGTTCAAGCAATTCTCTGCCTCAGCCTCCCAAGTAGCTGGGATTACAGGCGCCTGCCACCACACCCAGCTAATTTTTTGTATTTTTAGTAGAGACAGGGTTTCACCATTTTGGGCAGGCTGGTCTTCATCCGTCCACCGGGTGAAGGCTCATACACCTGGCTGGATACCGGCAGGGAGGCCTCAGTGTCAGATGGCCAGGCTCCCGCAGGTTCTGAGGGACACATCTTAAAAAGAGGTTTTTTCTAGGCCCGGCACAGCGGCTCACGCCTGTAATCCCAGCACTGTGGGAGGCCTAGGCGGGCAGATCACGAGGTCAGGGGATCGAGACCATCCTGGCTAACATGGTCAAACCCTGTCTGTACCAAAAATACAAAAAAAAAAGTCAGGCATGGTGGCGGGCGCCTGTGGTCCCAGCTACTCAGGAGGCTGAGGCAGGAGAATGGTGCGAACCCAGGAGGAGGAGCTTGCAGTGAGCTGAGATCGTGCCAGGGCACTCCAGCCTGGGTAACAGAGCGAGACTCCGTCTCAAAAAAATAAATACATAAATAAAAGACTGTTCTCCAAAGGCATTTATTTCTTCGGAAGAGCTGAGACTGCCCTTGTTCCAGCCTGTGGTGTCTGATGCCTGTGTCTGTGACTTGCCTGGGTTGCGGGGAGCACCTTTGGCTTCTGGCATGTTCCAGTGGTTCTGACAACATGCCACATGCCAGCATTCACTGGCTGCCTCCGTGTGGAAGCCTTGGGCTCCTCCCTTGCTTTCTGCATGCTGGGGCCATGTGTGGCTCCGGCAGGCACCAGAGGCCGTCAGGGACAGGCCCAGCTGGCTCGGCCCTCCCAAGCCCACGGCCCCAGCAGCCGGCTCCTCTCCTCAGGTGGAGACGCTGACCCACCAGGCCCGGGCGACCACGGTGCATGCCGTTCGGGACTCAGAACTGGCCAAGCTGCCGGCAGGAGCCCTCACGTCCATCAAGCGCAGGTACCCACAGGTGAGGATGGCGCAGGTAGGGCGCGGAGCAGATGAGGGCACGGAACAGGTGAGAGCGGAGCAGGTGAGGGCAGAGCGGGTGAGGGTGGAGCGGATGAGGGTGCAGATGAGGGCAGGGCACAGGTGAGGGCATGGAGCAGGTGAGGGTGCAGAGCAGGTGAGGGAGTGGAACTGGTGAAGGTGGCACAAGTGAGGCGCCCAGCAGGTGAGGGCAGGGCACAGGTAAGGATGTGGAGCAGGTGAGGGCATGGAGCTGGTAAGGGCGTGGGTGAGGGTGGTGCGGGTGAGGGTGGCACAGGCCATGTCCCAAGCTGTGCCCTGAGTTGTGGTGATCATTCGGTCCATGTGGATGGAAAATGACCTGGAGGGGCAGTCTGAAGGAGGTGAAGATCAGAGCCCAGCTGGGTGGGGGCCAGGAACGGTGGGTAGGAAAACTGGAGAGGTGCCTGGGCTGCTTCCCAGGACAGTCGCACAGCTGCCTTCTTGGTGCTCTCTACTTGTGAGTGACGTGGGTACGGCAGAGGAAAGGGAAGCGACTCTGGCTCTGAGATCTGGAGGAGGACAGGGTGGGCTGCTTGCAAGTGCAGGGTCAGCGGTGAGGAGAGCGCCCAGGAAGGACCAGCTGAGGGGCCTGAAGGGCAGGTCTGCGGCTGTTCGTCAGCAGCCAGCACATGGATCCCAAGAAGTTCTTCATTCTAGAACAAATGGAAAGGGGGTGCAGGTGTGGCCCCTAGCATGTCGCAGGGCCTTCTACAGCCAGTGCCTCTCACCGCCCCTGGGGCTCACCCTGGGAGGCCATCACTGCCCTCCCTCCACCACCTCCCCTCAGGTAGCGCTTCTCCCATCCACAGTTCCTGGGCCCTGGTTCTCCCGCCTGCAGCTCCCGGGTCCTGGCGCTTGCTGCAATTGCCCATTTATGGACCAGGAGAGCCTGGCGGAGCGTGTGAGTGCAGCTCACAGGGCCGGCAGGCTCTGGGGCGGCAGCCACAGTTGCTGGGAGCAGCAGGGAGCCAGGCCACTCCTCCATCTGCTTTGTCCTGGCCTGCAGGGCGGGCCTTGTCTTCATGAGCTCCTCGGAGCAGGAGCCCTGGCCCACCCTTTAGAGGCCGCTGCAGGGCCCCATCCAACCAGCAGCTTCTGGGGGACAGTATGGGTGGAGCCAGTGAGTCCACTGTTGTGGGGCCAGCTTTGCTGTACAGTCAGCCCCTGGGCAGGGTCCCTGCAGGCCAGCGACCCCTGGTGTGGGGACCGTTTGGTCCAGTCGGGACGAATGTCCCCAACTGTGCCCTGAAGCGGGGTTGGCACCCAGGAGCAGTGGCCACAATGAGAAGCCTGCCCGCCTGCCCTTGTCCTGCCTTCAGGGTCGGTGGCTTCCCCTGGAGTTGTCTGCCTGCCTGGAAGTGAGAGTGAGGCTGGCCTGGGCTCACGGTCACAGGGGACATACCCCTTGTACCTGCTGGCCTGGCAACCGGGAAGGCAGCCGCATGGCTTTCTTGGGCATTGTGAAGGCTCCTAGGCCTGGACAGCCATGGCCCGTGCAACTCAGTTCATGGAGGTTTTGAAAAGCAGATCCAGCGCCATTTGCTGAGTCTCGCTGTTGTTGAGCATCCCTGTCTTTGGTTCCCAGCGTTTCTCGGTTTAAAATGTGTGTCTGCCTGCAGGTGGTGACTCGGCTGATTCATCTCTTGGGTGAGAAGATCCTGGGCAGCCTCCAGCAGGGACCTGTGACAGGTGGGTCACCTCCCCCAACCCAGAGCCTCCTGGGAGCCCCCACCCAGTCCTGGAGAGCCGCCCACCCAGCCCATAGCCCTGCCCTGCCCTGTCCTGGACCCCGCCCACCCCATCCATGGCCCCACCCCGCCCATGGCCCCACCCCATCCTGGAGCCCCGTCCACCCAGCCCATGGCTGTGCCCCGTGCTGGAGCCTCACCCACCCAGCCCATGGCTCTGCCCTGTGCTGGAGCCCCACCCACCCAGCCCATGGCTCTGCCCCGTGCTGGAGCCTCACCCACCCAGCCCATGGCTCTGCCCCGTGCTGGAGTCTCACCCACCCATGGTCCCACCCTCCCCCTGGAGCCCCGCCCACACACGGCCCCACCCACCTCAGAGCCCCACCCACCTGAGCCCAGTAATTTTGTCAAACTGTGTCTCAATGTGGGCAGCATTGGAGGAAAGCTCTGCTATAAGTGAAAAGATGAAATATGATATATCCGCCTCCTATTTTCATCAGCTGATTGGAAAAAGGAAACAGGGTGAAACCTCCGGAAACGATATTGGTGGAACAGAGCTCAGTCAGTGCCCCGTGGAGCGGAGAGTGCTCTCTCCTGTGCTAAGCATGGAAAGCGAGAGACCGTTCTAGAGTGTTGGGAATTTAGTTTTTCCTGCTCCAGCGTATTCATCCTTTCCTAGTTCTGAGGTGTGCTTTTTCCGGAGCCACTGTTAGCTCTCAGGCCGTCCTCTCTCGCCGGGTCCCACGGACTTGAGGACTCTGACCATTTATCTCTGGCGGACAGCATTTGACCCCAGACCCCCTTGCCGTTCTGGGAGCTCCTCTCTCCTGCCTCCCACCTCTGTGCCTGCTGCTCTCTGCCTGGAGCCCTCAGGAGAGCCTGGCTGCTGCCGCGTGTCCTGCATCTCCATCTCACCGCAGCCTCCCCGGCCTCCCCGGTCTCCCCATCCGCCCAGCACTCGCGGCTCCCTTTCCACTTCCTTTTTCTCCTCTGCGCTTGTCACCCCGATACATTGCATGACCTGTCACCTGCCTCTGGTCCCGGTGTGTGAGCTGACTGGGAGCAGGAGCCTGCGCCTGTGTTCACACAGTGACGTGTGCACAGCATTGAACATCTGTCCAAGAAGCAGATGGATACACAGAGGGCCACACAGAGGCAGCGAAGCGTGAGCCCCACTCTAGGATGACCCCATCTTCATCTGAGTCCCTCTGCAAAACCGTTTCCAAATAAGGTCACATTTTGCGATTCTGGGTGGACATGAATTTTGGGGGACTCTGTCTAACACGTAATGTGACTCTTCACTCTCCGCTCACCTACACCATGAATTTTAAGTGAGTTTCTTGTAGAAGGTGTCTGGTTGGATCATGTATTTTTCATCCCTTCTGACAATCTTTATCTTTTGTGTGTTTATACGTAGTGTAGATACGTAGTGTAATCATTTTGTTGGGATTTACGTCTTCCATTTTATTGTTTTTTTCGGTTTTCACGTCCCCCACTGTTGTTAAACACTACTGTATTTTCTCTTTTCTTTTTATTTTAGAGATGGGGTCTCACTCTTTTGTCTAGGTTGGAGTGCAGTGGCTAGTTACACGTACAGTCATAGCTCCCTGCAACCTGTAACTCCTAGGCTCAAGTGATCCTCCCCCCTCAGCCTCCTGAGTCACTGAGACCACAGCTGTGAGCCTCTGCACCCAGCTTTTCTGTCTTCTTTTAGGTTACTTGAGCTTTTTTGAGTATTCCATTATAATTATCAACTGTGGTTTCATGAAGTCTCTTCATATGGTATTTTCAGTGGTCACTCTAGCAATTGCAGTGTCCATGCCTAGCTTATCCTTGTCTACTGACAGCCGCATCCCATCACTTTCAGTGGTACATGGAGAACTCACCGTTGTTCAGTCACTTCATCCTTCCCCGTTTATGATGTGGTTGTCTTAACTATTACCTCCGTGTGCGCTGAACCCCCCCCCAAAAACACAGGGCTACAACTTTCACTTTCAGTCATCAAACGTAACTTTTAAAACTTGGGAGAATAGTCCATGATGCTCACCCAGAGTCACTGTCCTCCTCCTCTTCTTCTTTAAAACTTGGGAGGAGAATAGTTCGTGATGCTCACCCAGTGTCACCGTCCTCCTCCTCTTCTTCTTTAAAACTTAGGAGGAGAATAGTTCGTGATGCTCACCCAGTGTCACTGTCCTCCTCCTCTTGTTTAAAACTTGGGAGGAGAATAGTCCGTGATGCTCACCCAGTGTCACTGTCCTCCTCCTCTTCTTTTATTTGCAGCGTCTCAGGTTTCCTTCTGTGCTTGTCTCTTTGCTGTTGCAGAATCGTGGTTAGCGGTTCTTTCAGAGAAGGTCTGATGGCCACAGATCCGCTTGCTTTCCCTCATCAGAGAATCTGAGAATGTCTCTGCTTTGCCCTCATCCTGAAGGGTGCTTTTGCTGAATGTATTAATTCTGGTTTGGCAGAGATACAAAGTATTTCAGCACTTTTAAAATTTTGTGCCACTTCCTCATGATCTCTATTGCTTCTTTTTTTTTTTTTTTTTGAGGTGGAGTCTCGCTTTGTCGCCCAGGCTGGAGTGCAGTGGCGCAATCTGGGTTCACTGCAAGCTCTGCCTCCCGGGGTCACGCCATTTTTCTGCCTCAGCCTCCCGAGTAGCAGGGACTACAGGTGCCTGCCACCACACCTGGCTAATTTTTTTTGTATTTTTAGTAGAGACGGGGTTTCACCGTGTTAGCCAGGATGGTCCCGATCTCCTGACCTTGTGATCCGCCCACCTTGGCCTCCCAAAATGCTGGGATTAAAGGCGTGAGCCCCTGCGTCTGGCCAGCCTCTGTTGCTTCTAATGAAAGATCCAGGTATTCAGATGTTCTCCAGTAGGTAACGCATCATTTTCCTCTAGCTGTGTTCAAAACTTTTTTGACCAGGCACAGTGGCTCACACCTCATCCCAGCACTTTGGGAGGCTGAGACAGGAGGATTATTTGAGCCCAGGAGTTCAAGACCAACTTGGGCAACATAGTGAGACCCTGTCTCTATGAATAAAATTTGAAAAACGATCCAGGCATGTTAGCACACACCTATCGTCCCAGCTACTCAGGGGGTGGAGGTGGGAGGTTCATTTGGGCCTCAGAGTTCCAGGTTACAGTGAGCTACAATCATGCCACCACAGTCCAGCCTGGGCAACAGAGCAAGACCCTGCCTCAAAACACACACACACAAAGATGTTTTTCTCTGTCTTTAGTTTTCAGAAATGTGATTTGGAAGTGTCTGAGCATGAATACTTTGGATCTGTCCTGTTTGGGGTTTCTTCGTCTTGGACCCATAGGTTTATAGCTTTTAACACATTTTGGGAGTGTTCAGTCTGTATGTCTTCAAACGATTCTTTCACCTGTGGACGCCTCCACCTGCTCTGGAAATAAAGTGACGCAAGTGTCAGACCTCGCGTTATTGTCCTCAAGGTCTCCGGGGCACTGTTCGTGTTTTGAATCTTTTTCTCTCTCTGATGTTAAGATGGAATTGTTTCTTTTGATCTATCTTCAGGATCTTTGGCTTTGTGTCATCTCGATTCTGCTTTGAGGCCTATCAGAGTTTTAAAAAAATTTTTCTGTCATTGTGTTTTGGTTCTTCTGTAGGCCTCCTGTTTCTTTACTAGGACGTTCTCTCTTTGTCTTTGTTTCAGGAGTGTTCAGGATTGCTGGTCCTAGCTGGTAATAACGGCTTTATTGTCCTGGAGGAATAATTCCGTCCATGACGTGGTCGTTTTTATCTGCGGACTGTTTCTGCTGCTCTGGTTCAGAGTCTCCTTGCTCTTGGCGTCCTGGTCGCCGTGGATGTGGCCTGGTCACTGTGGACCCATCCTGGTCACCCTGGTCACTGTGGACCCGTCCTGGTCACCGTGGATGTGACCTGGTCACTGTGGACCCATCCTGGGCACCCTGGTCACTGTGGACCCGTCCTGGTCACCGTGGATGTGACCTGGTCACTGTGGACCCGTCCTGGGCACCCTGGTCACTGTGGACCCATCCTGGGCACCCTGGTCACTGTGGACCCATCCTGGTCACCGTGGATGTGACCTGGTCACTGTGGACCCGTCCTGGTCACTGTGGATTTTGAGTCCTGATGTTTTGCGTGTTAGACTATGAGACTCTGGTTCCCATTTAAGTCTTCAATTTCGCTGTCGGTGTGCTTGTATTCACAGGGCATGTCTTGGCCGACATTTGTTGAGTGTGGTTTGAATGTGAACTGACCCTGGTGTGCCTACTGGGTGCTGCCCAGGCCCAGTGTGAAGGCTGCATTCTGTGCCGTCTTCAGCTCTCAGAGCCGCACACCTGACCCTGGCACAGGCTGGGTCTTCATGAGCAGATTTGGAGGCTTTCTTGGTCTCCTGCCTCTAGTTGGCAGGGGGTGGGGCCTCCTCTGCTTTCTCTGCAGGAGGTGGACAGTCGGGAGCGATGTCTGCTGGTCAGGGGGTGGACAGTTGGGAGGGATGTTCACTGGTCAGGGGGTGGACAGTTGGGAGGGATGTTCACTGGTCAGGGGGTGGACAGTTGGGACGGATGTTCACTGGTCAGGGGGTGGACAGTTGGGAGGGATGTTTGCTGGTCAGGGGGTGGAGAGTTGCAGGGGATGTTTGCTGGTCGGGGTAGACAGTTTGTGGGGATGTTTGCTGGTCAGTAACAATTGGGGGAGATGTCTGCTGGTCAGGGGATGGACAGTTGGTGAAGATGTTTCCTGTAGGGGCAGTGGACAGTTGGGAGATGCTTGCTGATACAGGGGTGCATAGTTGGGAGGGGCGTGTGCTGGTGCTTGCTTGGTGCCAGTCAGTGTCGCTGGAGGCAGCTCCCATGGGGAGGGAGTGACAGACCCCTCTGTCTGTGGCAGCCATGTGGCTGGGAAGCGGACTCTGCTTCTTTCTAGGCCTGAGTCGGGTGGCCAAGAAATGAGTGGTCAAGACTCATTCTTTCATGAGTCCAGGGTCCCCGGCCAGCCTGCCTTCCTCTCCATCCTTTGGAGTCTTGTGAGAGCTGCCTCGAGCTGTGTCCCTCTCTGATCGTGACTGGCGACAGTCAGGTGGCCTGTGTCTGTGCCACCTCCTTTCTGGCCCAGAGCCAGAACCTTACCGGTGCCTTTTCCCAAGGCCAAGGCCATGTGGAACTAGCAATGGCCTCCCCCACTCTGCCTGAAATGAGGACTGTGACACCTCAGTCCGTGGAGAGGCGAGAGGAAGGGGATCCCCAAGGAAAAGCTACAGGAACAGTAAGTCCACATCAGACTGCAAGAGCAATGTTGAGGCCGAATCTCGGGACGAGGTGGCGGTTCTCCGTCCTTCTCTGCTCAGCAGCACTTTGGTGTGTGTGTATATTGTTTGTTTGCTATCTGGGAGTTATTTCCTCCTGATTATAGAAGCCACATGCCTTCCACTTAGCGCCTAGAGGCGGAGAAGCATCGTCTGGCCTGAGTCCCCTGCTCCTCCTGTGTGGCTGAGGCTCAGCTGCGGGGAGGGACATGCGGTGAAGGTGATGCTGGGGACGCCTCGCGGGGCGTGCTGGGTCGTGGTGGTGCCCGGGCTCCTGAGACCCCCCTGACAGGCAGGTGGAGGCTGGATGGGACGGCCTCTCAGGGAGCCAGCTGGGGGTGGTGAGAACTGGAGGCTCTGTGGCCAGCACAGTGGGTTCCGTGCCGGTGTGGTTGGTTCCCCAGAGGAGCAGAGGCTGCCAGGAGGAACATGTGTGGAGGGTTTATTTTGCTTCATTTTCTTGTCTGTCGTTGTGGAGTTTTATCACAAAGGCTATGTAGGCTGCACAAAGACCTACGGGCCCCCAGGCAGGAGATGAAGACGTGGCGCCTCCCTCTTACAGCTGCTTAGGTGGTGCTAGGCGCCAGCGCCTGGTTCTTTTCCTGCACAGACAGCTGCACGCGTCAGGCCGAGGGCAGAGTCCTTTACTGGTGCTGCTGGTTGGGTATTTACTCCAGGGCTGGGGTCCCCTCCAGGGGTCCATGAGCCCCACGGCGACACATGGCCAGCGCTGCCCTCCAGGCCTGCACTTTGGGCCGCTCAGCTCCAAGCGCTTATCCTGACCAGGGCCCTGTGTAGATGCCTCTGCACGTCTCCAGCGCTGCACGTCACAGCCCTTGGCAGAGCGGGGTGCGGTCTGTGAACAGCTGGGGATGCAGCTGGGCTGTGCAGCCTCCAGGCAGAGATGAGCACAGGACACTGAGCCCTTGGCAGCCGTTGTGCAGCACCCAACCCTCCATCCCTGGCTTACCTGCTGGGGGCACTGGGCCCCGTCGGAAGCTGGCACCGTGCTCAGGAGGCCAGTCAGGAAAGATCCCTCTCCCAGAGCTGCAGTCGAGTTAGGTCAGGGACGAAATTAGACCGAGAAGGCAAGAGAGATGGCTCAGAAGAGGGTGGGAGGGGCAGGGGCACGCAGATGGTGGGGCAGCCCTCCCTGAGGAGGTCAGGACCCTTGGGGCCAGGCATAGAGCTGTGTGGTGTGGGGGTCACCAGCAGCTCTCGGGGACCGCAGATGGGCATAGAGCTGTGTGGTGTGGGGGTCACCAGCAGCTCTCGGGGACCGCAGATGGGCATAGAGCTGTGTGGTGTGGGGGTCACCAGCAGCTCTCGGGGACCGCAGATGGGCAGAGGCTGCAGACTTCGGCTTGTTCTGAGTGGGGAGGGGCACCGGGGGCTTTGAGCAAAAAAGGCTCCTGGCAGACTTGGGCATTGAAGGTCAGCTCTGGCCACTGTGCACAGAGCCTCCTCTCAGAAGGCGGCTGAAGCCCTCCAAGGCTGTGCGGTGGAGGCCCAGTGCTCCCGGTGATGAGATGGACTGAGGGCAGGGACTGAGCGTTGGTGGGTCGGGTGGGAGCCTGGGGCCGGAGGTGGGGGCCGAGTCCGAGGGAAGATCTGGGGCTGTGTGAGTCTTGGACACTCATTTGGGGTGTTGGATGGGCAGCATCATTTATCTGTTTCTGCCTGCGTACAGGTGCAGGTGCTTTCGTTTGGGAGGCCTGGAGTGTTTATGTAATAATGGAATCGTAGTTATAAACCACTCTGCAGCTTTCCTGCTCAGCAGCGCGTCATCAGCTGTTTTCCTGTGAGCACCACGATCGCTGGCTGTGCGCTGGTTCCCCGAGCCATGTTCCCTGTTCACAGGCTCTTACCCGCAGGGCTGCCACGGCGCCGTGTGCATCCCAGGAGCTTGCAGGCGTCCGCTAGCCGCCGTCTGCAGGGAGTGTCCCTCAAGCCCTCACTTGTTCTGTGTCCCCAGGTTTGCTCTCCTGGCCTCTTCCCTGACCACGCCGCATCCCCTTACTCTGACCTTGGCCAATCAGGACCTGCGTGTCTGGTGGATTTTGGAAGCCGCCTCACTGGGGACGGGAGGCATAGGCCAGGGGACAGCCTGTGGGAGGGCTGGGCCATGGGGGCTGCAGAGGAGGAGTGTCCATGGCACCTGGATGCAGGAGACCCTCGTGGGCAGGAGCGTGGCTGGTGGTGCGGTGGCCTTGGGAGTGTTGAGGCCGTCCCCTCAACCTCTTTCGTGGAAGCAGAGATGCCACTCATCACGCGGCTTCCAGTAAAGAGGGCCTGGGACCCTCGGGGGACCCTCAAGTTCCCAGACTCCCGGTCCATGTCCTTGCCGTTGTGCTGGCCGAGGGGCCCCTCAGCCCACGTGGGGGCCAGGGAGAGGGTCCTGCCTGTCTGGGTGTGCCCCCATGGTGGGCCCTGGAGGCTCCAGTCTCAGGGAGAGGAAAGCCCGGTCTGCCTTGACCTCCTCACTGACGTCTCCGGGGTCTCCAGGGCCCGGCCCAGGTTTCCCGGGGCTGCGCTGTGCTCTCTTGGTTTCTGGGGTCCCTTGCAGATAACAGACAAGAGAAGCACGCCTGTTGCTCTCTAGCCCGTGAATTGTTTACTGTTCCTGGAGTGAGTGGTGGAAAGCCCTGCGAGGGGTTGGTTCAGAGGATGAGGCCTCACCTGGAGAGTTTGTCTAGTTTACTCCAAGCCTCATGTTCCTTTCAGTCGCTCCCTGAATCACTGTCTTCAGTGGGTCAGGACGAATCCACTGCCTGGGCCTGGGCCTGGGCCTGGACCAGTGCTCGTCAGGCCTGCTGTGTGGGGCCTGGGGGCGCTTGCAGGTGTGGACTGGCAGCTCATCAGGAAGAGCTGGGGAAGGCCTGAGACCAAGACAGCCTCCGGCCTGGAGGAGGCATGAGGCCCGGGCAGCCACACGGCTGGGGACGGTGTGAGGCCCAGGTAGCCTCTGAGGGCTGGGGGTGGCATGAAGTCCAGGCAGCCCCTAAGGGCTGGGGAGGCACAAGGCCCAGGCAGCCTCTGGTGCTGCTGCGTTGCTCCTGGGCAGCCTGGGGGGCCACAAGGCGTCTGGAGGCGTCTGCGAGCATCTGGGCTGTCCCAGCTGACGTGGGTCGTTTGCTCCACAGGCCACCAGCTTGGGCTCCCCACGGCGGGCAGCAAGTGGGACTCAGGGAACCCGGCTGTCAACCTGTCCACGGTGGCAGTGATGCCCGTGTCAGAGGAAGTGCCCCTCACCGCCTTCGCCCTGGAGCTGGAGCACGCCCTCAGCGCCATCGGTAAGCCTGGGCCTCCTGGCCTCCAGCCGTCCTTGAGTTCTGGGCCTGCGGAGGGGGCGTGCCAGCTGCCCTCCGTCTTCGAGGGGACGCGGCGGTGGGTGGCCGGGGCTCAGGTGGGGTCAGTGTTCCGTAGTGTTTCCAAATTCCTGGCAGCCGTTAAATCTGGGAATTCAGGGACAAGGAGTTGAATTTCCTGAGAACTCAGAGTTCTGCGGTATTCAGGTACTCTGTAATCTTTGCAACATTTTATTTACAAGTTTCCATGTGATTATAGAGACCATGATAATAGGAAGTCAGTTTTCTGTGGGTTTAGGGTTATACTAAGAATTTCAGTGTTGTCTTGGCAAAATAATGCAATAATAATGAATGTGGCCGGGCACGGTGGCTCATGCCTGTAATTCCAGCACTTTGGGAGGCAGAGGTCAGGAGTTCAAGACCAGCCTGGCCAACATGGTAAAACCTCATCTCTACTAGAAATACAAAAATTAGCCGGGCATGGTGGTGCACGTCTGTAATCCCAGCTACTGGGGAGGCTGAGGCAGGAGAATCACTTGAACCTGGGAGGTAGGGGTTGCAGTGAGCTGAGATCACACCATTGCACTGCAGCCTGGGCGACAGAGTAAGACTCCATCTCATAATAATAATAATAATAATCAATGAATGTTGTATAATTATTATGAAACAACATATTGTGACAAGAGTATTTCAGAACCATGTGAAAATGCTCTCTCCTGATACAGACATTTGGTAATAGAAAACAATAAATGCAAAAAATGTATAATGTAGAAAGATACTACTGTAAACATCTAATATTTAAAAGTTATTCTCAGCCAGACGTGGTGGCTCACACCTGTAATCCCAGCACTTTGGGAGACCGAGGCGGGCGGATCACCTGAGGTCAGGAGTTCAAGACCAGCCTGACCAACATGGTGAAACTCCATCTCTACTGGAAATATAAAAAGTAGCCAGGCATGGTGGCGGGCACCTGTAATCCCGGCTACGTGGGAGGCTGAGGCAGGAGAATCGCTTGAACCCAGGAGGTAGAGGTTGCAGTGAGCCGAGATCGCACCACTGCACTCTAGCCTGGGTGACAGAGCAAGACTCTATCTCAAAAGTAAATAAATAAAAGTTACTCTCAAAACAAAATTTTAAAACACGTAAAGCATGGATTGCCTTGTCTGATGACCTTGACCGTCATTACATGACACATATTCCCAGTATATGCAGAAAATCGTACTCATTTCCAGTGACATCAGTCAGAGTATTCCAGGTGCATCCAAAAACGCCTTCTAGCAGTGCGGTGGAGCTGTACTGCTTCATAGAAACGAGTTACCTTTAAAAAACACTTTTTCGCCGGGTGCAGTGGCTCACGCCCTTAATCCCAGAACTTGGGGAGGCTGAGGTGGGAGGATCACTTGAGGTCAGGAGTTCGAGACCGACCTAGCCAACATGTTGAAACCCCGTCTCACTAAAAACACAAAAATTAGCCAGGCTTGGTGGTGGGCGCCTGTAGTCCCAGCTACGAGGGAGGCTGAGGCAGGAGAATCGCTTGACCTCGGGAAGTGGAGGTTGCAGTGAGCTGAGATGGTGCCATTGCACTCCAGCGTGGGCAACAGAGCGAGACTCCGTGTCAAAACAAACAAACAAAAAAACCACTTTATTTTGAAATAATTATAGGATTGGAGAAATTGTAGAATAGTAAAGAGAGACCCCATGTTCCCTTCGCTGGGGCTCCCTCACGGGCAGCACGTTAGGGGGTAACATCGAGGCTGGGACGTTGGCGTTTACACCATCTGTAGACCCCTCGGGCCCCAGCAGCCCCTCCGTGCCCTCCTGGGTGTGTGCGGTGCAGTGTGGCGTGGGTGCCGTTTCTGTGACCTGCACCACACAGGGCCGTGGGGCCGCTCTGTCACGGAGGAGACCCTGCAGGTGGCTGCCATGTTGTCACCCAGCACCCCAGCCTGCCGACAGCCAGGGACCTGTTCTCGATCTCTATAATTTCGTCATTCTGGGAAAGTGATAGAAATGGAACCACACAGTGTAGCCTCTGCAGACGGCCTTCTCCCACTCAGTCACGTGCACCCAGGTTCCTCCTGGCCTTTTTCTGGCCTGGAGCTCAGTTCTTTTTGGTGCTGAGTCATCGTCCGCTGCCTGGACGCACCAGTTTATCTGTTCATCTACTGGAGGGCATCTTGGCAGCTTCCAGGGTTTGGCAATTAGGAGTGAAGCTGCTGTAAACACCTGTGTGCGTGCTTCTGCGTGGACAGAAGTTTTCAATTCCCTTGGGTAAACACCAAGAAGTGTGATTGCCGGATCCTGTGGTCAGAGTATGTTTAGTTGTAGAAGAAACCACCGAGCCGACTTCCAGTGAGGCTGCACCGGGCTACAGTCCCACAGCGGCGAGCAGGTTCTGGCTGCTGTGTGTCCCACTGGCACTGGGCTGGCTTTTGAGCTCAGAGCTGGGTCTTGGGTCCAGGGGTATTCCAGGTCAGTTGTCAGAGGGGCCCTTATCTTGTGTGCCTCCAGGAAACAAATGTTGCCAGTTAAGGCAAGGCACAGGACACATTGATCTGATCTCTAGCTGTTTGTTTTGTTTTTTGTTTTTTTTTTTTGAGACGGATTCTCACTCTGTTACCCAGGCTGGAGTGCAGTGGTGCAATCTCGACTCACTGCAAGCTCCACCTCCTGGGTTCATGCCATTCTCCTGCCTCAGCCTCCCGAGTAGCTAGGACTACGGGCACCTGCCACCACGCCCAGCTGATTTTTTGTATTTTTAGTAGAGACGGGGTTTCACCGTGTTAGCCAGGATGGTCTCGATCTCCTGACCTCATGATCCGCCCGCCTCGCCTCCCAAAGTGCTGGGATTACAGGCGTGAGCCACGGCGCTTGGCCGATCTCTAGCTTGTAATTAGAATTAGACCTCTCTGCTTCCCACACATGAGTCTCTGGGTCCTTTCCCACCTGGCACTGCCAAGCAGCACCCCCTCAGGCTGAGCCCCTCATCTTAGCTTCTCCCCCAAGCCTCTGGTGGCTGTGATGCCAGGGCTGACACTGGCGCCCCTGGTTGAGAAGGGCCCTGACAGCTGTGCCCACATGGAAGATGCGTACAAACAGGCATCTCGACACTGGGGACCCTGGCCTCTTGGCGTCTGGCGCCTCGATGATCTGGGTTTGGGAAATTATGTTATCTCCCATCGCACAACCTTCCCTGCCCTGCACACATGGCAGGACACAGAGATTCCACTGCTCCTTGTGCTGGAGGAGACCGAGGCTCAGAGAGGCTGCCCGAGGCCTCCTTCAGGGCAGAGGGGAGGTAGCATCAGGCCACAGGCCCTTCTGCACTGGCAGGTGAAGAAGGCTTGGCAGTTGTGCTGAAGGGGAGCAGGCCTTGGGGGTGGGGAGGGGACTCTCACTGCCTTGCTTGGCGTTGGTGCCTTGCTCAGCCTTGGAGGTGGGCGGCCTGGGCAGGCTCCATTACTGGTGATGGTATTTTCAGGCCCGACCCTGCTGCTGACCAGTGACAACATAAAACGGCGCCTCGGCTCCGCTGCCCTGGACAGGTGCGTGCCGTCAGCCCCGACTCCCTCCTCCCAGCCGGCCCAGTGCAGCCCTGAGAGGTGTCCCCACTCTGTCACGTCCGGCATCTGCACTGCAGCTCCTCATCCGGCACACCGGGGTGTGAGGGCTGATGACATGACGCCCCTCACCAAACACACACTGGGCAGCAGTGACCTGCTGGGCACTGTTGGGCCTCCCAGGAGATCCCGGCCCCTGCTTCCCGCCTGGGCAGCCCGGGGTCTCACCTTCCCCCGCCTGCCCTTCAGTGAGCCTCAGCCTCTGGGCTTAACTGCAGCCTGTGCTTGACCACCTAGGCCCTGAATAACTCACTGCGAACTAGAGATAGCAGGAAGTGCTGGGCCGGGAGGGGAAGGGGCAGCGACTGGTGCTGGCCTCTGCTGCCTCTTTCCACTGGGGACACGCACTAAGAGTGCCAGGCCCCTGTGGAGTAGTGAGGTCCTCCCTCTGCGGCCTGCAGTGTCCACGAGTACCGGCTGTCCAGCTGGCTGGGGCAGCAGGAGGACACGCACAGGATCGTGCTCTACCAGGCAGACGGCACGCTCACACCCTGGACCCAGCGCTGCGTGCGCCAGGCCGACTGCATCCTCATCGTGGGCCTGGGTGACCAGGAGCCCACAGTAGGCGAGGTGAGCATGGGGAAGGCCAGTGGAGCTGGGGAGAGCCCTCTCTTCAGAACCTCCTGTTTCTCTTTTCCTTTGAGTGAAATACTGCACAAACTCAGAAAAGGACAGATAACGAGAGCCAACACTCAGATATCTGCTACTCGCGTTTTAAAAACATGGTGCTGTATTGACCTCCAGCGGTGCCAGCACAGGCAGGGCAGGGGCCCCACGTGGCCTCTTGTGAAGTCAAAGCCTCTGGCCGCCTTTCGCACTTTTACAGCCGGTACAGGAAGCCCTTTCCAGGTCTCACCTTTTACATAAACGGTGCCCTATTTTATGTCGTCTGAAGTTTGCTCTTCTCCACAGCATTTAGGTTTCGGCGTCGTTCCTGTTCCCCTCGCTGTTTTTTCTGGCTACTTAGTTTTCCTCTTGTGAATGCCTCACCCTCTGCCTCTGCATCCTCAGCCAATGGGAACAGCCTGTGCAGGCACCTTCGGGACGCCGGCCCCAGGCTGTGTCTGCAGGTTCCCAGATGGCAGCAGATCGCTGACCCAATTGCCTGTGGACCTTCCACCTGGCCATTGCTGCAGGCGAGGCCTCGGGCTCACGACTGCCCAGTCCTGTTCGTTCTCCAGCTTCCTGCCTTCAGTTCGCATTTCCGTCTCCCTCCTCTGCTCCCTGCTCTGTTTTCATCACAAGCCTGCCTGGGCTAATCCTGGGGCAGCTAAAAATTCCTCCTCTCTGATGTGTGTTCCTGTTCTGCAGCTAGTGATGCTCCCTTGTGATGGTTTGTTTGCAAAATACCTCATTCGAAAAGGTTGCTGTATGTGTTTATGAGGCAGCGTTAGAGAAACAGAAAGAGGAGGTGTCCCCTCCTGCCGTGCTGACCTTGCCCGGCACCATGGACGGACGGCCCCCTGCCGTCACAGCTTCGGCAGCGCCAAGACCAGGCCACAGCCAAGTTGCTTTGCAGAACCCAGGCGCTGCTCCCGGGGTCCTGCCCACAGACCCTCTGTGCTGCCCTCAGCTCCGTCCTGCCCCGAGTCGCAGGCTCGCCCGTCTGGCAGACACGTGGGCTCTGCCTTTCAGCTGGAGCGGATGCTGGAGAGCACAGCTGTGCGTGCTCAGAAGCAGCTGATCCTGCTGCACCGGGAGGAGGGCCCGGCGCCGGCCCGCACCGTGGAGTGGCTGAACATGCGGAGCTGGTGCTCCGGCCACCTGCACCTCTGCTGCCCGCGCCGCGTCTTCTCCAGGAGGAGCCTGCCCCAGCTGGTGAGGCGGGGAGAGCCAGGCGGCCTGCCCATGGCTCTGTCGTTCATTTCCTTGAATGTCTGAAGCCACCTTCACATTCCCCACCTGATTTCCTGACACCTGCGCTCCCTGGGCCCTTCCTGTGCTTGTGAACGTGACCCTGCCTCACGTCTCCTTCCTCTTGCCCTTTGGGCCTCTTGTGGCCACGGCAAGGTGACACCCCCTGCAGCCAGCAGGGTGGGGGCAGCCACAGGGCGGCCATGGGGCTGGGGGCTCACTGAACCCTGGGAGACGGGCCTGACGTCAGGGGAGGGGCAGTAAACCCTGGGGGATGGGCCTCACATCAGGGCTGCTCAGGGCTGAGGCTGAGGCCCCACATCCGGCCGACGAGGGTGTCCTCAGGCCAGCACTGCTCCCTCCTTTGGGCAGAAGACCCTGAGACTTTTATTTTTTATTTATTTATTTTTTTTTTGAGACGGAGTCTCGCTCTGTCACCCAGGCTGGAGTGCAGTGGCCGGATCTCAGCTCACTGCAAGCTCCGCCTCCCGGGTTTACGCCATTCTCCTGCCTCAGCCTCCCGAGTAGCTGGGACTACAGGCGCCCGCCACCTCGCCTGGCTAAGTTTTTGTATTTTTTAGTAGAGACGGGGTTTCACCGCGTTAGCCAGGATGGTCTCGATCTCCTGACCTCGTGATCTGCCCGTCTCAACCTCCCAAAGTGCTGGGATTACAGGCTTGAGCCACCGCACCCGGCCCCTGAGACTTTTAATTCCAGTGTCCTCAGGCAGCCCTGGGGCCTGAGGGCGAGAGGTGTCTGGAGGCTGCTCATGCTTCACAGCCCCCAGCCCACAGCTCTGTCCAGGAACCTGCACCCTGAAAGCACCATCTGCTGCAGGATTGGGGGACCCCAGTGGGGACAGCTCTGAGGAGGCCCTCTGGCCCCCCACCCGGGCCCACTCTCTTGCCCACGTACCCTCTGCCAGTGTCCTCCCCCCAGTAGCTGAGCTGTCTCTGGGGCCTGGCCCGGGCACTGAGGTGTTGATCAGTCTTATCAGGCAGGGCGTGCTGCATGCTGGGGAGGATTTGGGGTCAGTTTGGGTTAGAAGTGGAGGAAACTCCCCCCAGTCAAGCCAGGATGCGAGGTCTCGGCCGAGGGTGGGGCCCCGCACCAGCACTGCCTGACGGCTCTTCCCCCAGGTGGAGATGTACAAGCGCGTCTTCCAGCGGCCCCCGGACCGACACTCAGACTTCTCCCGCTTGGCCAGGGTGCTGACGGGCAACGCCATTGCCCTGGTGCTTGGGGGAGGGGGAGCAAGGTGAGTGCCCCCCGCTTCCCACGCACTCCTCACGGTTGTGTGTGTGGTGACAGTCACCCCCTCGGGTGCTGGGAGGTGCTGGGTGCTGGGGCGGGGGGTGTCACTCAAAGACAAGGAGACCCTCAGGCCGCCTGTCTAGACCTAGCGCACATGGTATGCCCACTGACACCCAGAGTGGCCCTGGTTTTATTATGGCCAGTTTAGTAGAAGACATATCTCGTTTTGACTGCCTTTGCTTACAAGTGGCTACTTGGACCAGGCACAATGGCTCACGCCTGTAATCCCAGCACTTTGGGAGGCTGAGGCAGGCAGACCACGAGGTCAAGAGATTAAGACCATCCTGGCCAATGTGACGAAACCTAGTCTCTACTAAAAGTAGAAAAATCAGCTAGGCGTGGTGGCGTGCACCTGTAGTCCCAGCTACTCGGGAGGCTGAGGCAGGAGAATTGCTTGAACGTGGGAGGCGGAGGTTGCAGTGAGCCCAGATTGCACCATTGCACTCCAGCCTGGGGACAGAGCAAGACTATGTCTCAAAAAACAAAACAAACAAACAAAAAAAGAAGTGGTTGCTTGTTGGCCCTTTGCATCTCCTTTGAAACCTCTGCTCTTTCCTCAGCCGGTCTTTCCGGGGTCTGGTGAGTTTCCTTCACTCTAATACTTGATAAAGAATGATCTGCTCTCTGCCCAAACTGAGTCTTTCAGGGACTTTAATCCCAGGTCACTCCTCCCCTGCCTTGTCATCAGACACCACCTTCTCCTGACCGTGAATAGATACACTTGGCACCGAGATGGACCCGGGAGCCCCGAGGAGGGTGGGACAGGCACGTGCCCCTCTGCTGAGCCAGGCGTGCATAAGGGGCAGGGCAGAGCCTCCTACTGTTGCCCCCAAATGAAGGGAGGACGCCGAGGGGTGCCTGGGCAGGGGTCCAGGCCGGGGCTGCCCTGCTGGGGTGGGGCCTCTCCGGCAGCCTCTCCCATCTCCCACGGAGTGCCAGCACTGCTACCCAGGGAGGAGCTTGGAGGTAGCCCCAGGGCCTCAAGGATGCTTCTGCTGGCCCCAGGGCAGGGCCCTGTCCGCCCCTGGGGCTGGTCCAGGTAGCGAAATGCCCACTGCATCCTGCTGTATAAGGGACTTGCCACCTCCTCTTGTGCCATACTTTCTCTTAAACACTGCAGAAGTTGGCCTAGAGCAGTTCAATGGCTTACCTGAGGTTGTCAGGCTGGGGACAGGACCCAGGTCTCCTTCTGTGGGTCTGGGACAGTGCAGGGACTTGGAGCAGTTGAGCCCACACCCGGACCTGACTTGCAGGCCAGATCAGCAGCATTTTTAATGAGAACGTAGCTTTGATCAAGATAATACTTAGAAGCTGTAAGTATTTCTTAAGGCACATAACTGCAGGCCCTTGCCCTCCCTCCAGCACCACGTCCAGAGTTATCCCAGAAATAACCACTTCCCATGTTTTGGGCTGTCTGCTTGTCTGTATCTCTAAATCGCATTCCTATTCTAAGTTTTTGTTTTGTTTTGTTTTTGGTTTTAGATTGTTGACTTCTTAACCGCCTTCCACACCTGCAGTCAGAGTCTGTCCATCTCCAACTATTGATCAGTCACTCATCCACGCGTCTGTCTCCCCCCTTTCCACTCAAAATCCCAGTGTGGTTCCATCACTAGTTAGCCAGCACTCACTGTCTATGTTGTTAGGACAGCGTGGGTGTCCCTCAGAGCTAAGTCACATCTTGTCCTATCCTGTGATTGAAGTTCCTTCCTTGGACTTAATAATTCTCACATTTGTTCAGTTTTCTGGGCATCCTTAGTTTACCCAAGGACACCAAGGCAGGCATTAACCTCCTCTCGGTATGTTCGGACACACCACTCGTCTCTGTTCAGTTTTCAGGAGTCGTCCTCCCTAAAGCCCTCTAGCCTCCTCCTATCTCCACTGGTTGCTTTCTAGCGTGCTGCTGAGAAGTTGCCCTGGAATTTTCTTTAACCGCCATCCTAGAAACTACTTTCGTTTCTCTCCTGTGTTCAGTTCCATTTCCTGTAATTTCATGTCTTCTTCTTCATTGGTTTATTCCTCATTTAGGTGGATATATGCTCTAGAAATTTCCCTAGGAGGAGATGCATGGAGAAGTAAACGTTTTAAGAGCATGCATATCAGCAAATGTCCTCATTCTGTTCCCACACTTGTATGATAGTTTGGCTGGGTATAGAATTCTAGATGGAAATAATTTTCCCTGAGAATTTTAAGGCATGGTTCCATTGTCTTTTTAGTTTTTTGTATTGTTGTTGAGAAATTTAGTGCTGTTTTTATTCACAAGGCCTGTTTTTTCTTCTGGAACCTTGTAGGAGATTTTCTCTTTTTTAAAAACAAAACAGAGTCTCGCTGTGTTGCCCAGGCTGGAGTGCAGTGGCAATCATAAGCTCACTGTAGCCTCAACTCTCAGCTTCAAGCAGTCCTCCCCACTCAGCCTCCCAGAGTGCTGGGATTACAGGCGTGAGCCACTGTGCCTGGCCTGAGACTCTGCATTCTTGGTATTCTGAAAGTGCATGATGACGGGCCTTCATGTGGCTCTTTTTGCATCCACTGACAGTGGATTCCCAGTGGACTCTTTCAAATTTGGAAACTCACAGGCTTCAACTCTGGGAAATTTATAATTTTTCTAAATGAAAATGTTTACCTCCCTCTTTTCTGTGTTCTCACTTCCTGGAGCTACAGGTGCCCACAACCAAGCCTGCTAATTTTTTTGTTTTTTTATAATTTTAGCAGAGACGGGGTTTCCCCATGTTAGCCAGAATGGTCTCGATCTCCTGACCTTGCGATCTGCCCACCTTGGCCTCCCAAAGTGCTGTGATTACAGGCGTGAGTCACTGCGCCCAGGCTTTTTTTTTTGAGACAGGATCTCTCTGTCACCCAGGCTGGAGTGCCAGCAGTGCAGTCAGAGCTCACTGCAGCTGGAAGTTC